CAGTAACTGCAAAAATGACATATCATTTTCAACTTCAAAAGCACTTCCACCAAGCATTGGAAAGATCACATGATTATCTGACTCCAATCTCCTCTTCCAAGATGGTAACTTGACCGAAATAGCCGGAAGTTTTTCAGCAACATCCATAATTGATACTACAGGACCCTGAACAGAAAGATTTAAGTCCTTCACATGGCCAACCAGGGCTTCGAACTGGTTCTTCCCAGTTCAGTCAGAGCCAACGAAGCAACACTGGAACGGATCCGAATTTTTAAAATGTAGGTGAACTGGAACAGTAGCTAGAACATGACAAATTATGGGTAGAAGCCCTGCTGGAAACTCAATCTCTTTCTTAGGAAACAAGGGCAGTACACATGTTGCACAGTAACCAAATCTCTTGCCTGTCAGATTTTGCGCAGAGTGGGAAACAGCAGTGCCCCACTCTAAGATGGCGGCCGACCGTGCCACTTTGAATGTGCATCGCTCCCCTGAGTTCTGGCAATAATCCCACCTCATGCATCAGGCTCCTGAAAGGGCTCAGTACACCTCTTCTGAGTCTCCCATTCCAGAGCTTCAACCTGTAATTTCCATTCCAGATCACCCAAATTGTAAAAATTTAGATCTGCTCCAGTTGCACTTTGCTGGCCATGAGTAAACTGGTTCGAACCGGTTTGAAGCCCTGTGGCCAACACCTACCACACAGATGATGAACAAACTCCTGCAGGTCAAATTCCTAGGAGGGGGCTTTCATTCTCTCTCAAAAACAGAAAAAATCTCCCCAAGGATTAATCAAGGGCTTTAACTTTGCCCTTAGGAAAGTCAGAAAAATTATGCATGAAGAATTTCACATTTTGCCCACATTTTTTGACAAATGTCTTGGAAAAGACAATAATTCAAACCCTTAGCTCTAATGTATTTGAGTTTCATGGCAGCAGACAAGACTTATTTTAGAATTATTGGCTGAATCTAAGCACTAATGCATGATGCCAGCGTGCTGAAATAGATAGCAATGTTTTCTTTACTGAGGCAACAAAACCATGCGTTGTCGAGCATCTTGGGAGTTCCATCAATATAGAGAGTACCAAAATGTTGCTAAGCAAATAAAGTTTTCATTTATTTCAAAGACATCAACCTTTGCAGTTTCCAAAAAAAAGGGGACTCACAACACAGGAGTTCTTTGATTGTGTCAATGTGCAAATAATGATTAAAATCAGATGCTGGCTACCACTGAGAAGTACTGGTATTTTTATCCTATTAAATGTTAAGGAAGAGCCACACTGCTGCTGATTCTTCTACAAACTCCTGCAGAATGTGAAGAAACATCAGCAGTTCTAATGCAGATGATGTCATCTGCCAGGGGCTCTGGTTTTTCCTTCCTGCTCTAAATCATAAACCATCTCAATGATTTCCAGGATTCTCTGTTTAGCCAAAGTCTCTTCCATTGTATAGTCTCCTTTTGCTGAGTAGTACAATAAACAAATGCACTTCAAGATAAGGATGCATAAGCAATGTTTACAATAGCAAAAAGATGGAAACAACCTAGATGCCCATCAACAGATGAATGGATAAACAAACAATGGTACATACACACAATGGAGTATTACCCAACGATAAAGAACAACGATGATTCCGCAATGCATCTCACAACATGGATGACTCTGGACAGCATTATGCTGAGTGAAATGTCAATCACAAAAGGACAAATACTGTATTAGACCACTACTATAAAAACTCATGAAAAGGTTTACACACAAAAAGAAACAATCTGATGGTTACGAGGTGGGATGGGGGTGGAAAAATGCTGAATAGACAACAAATAAGTGGTAACTTTGGTGAAGGGCAAGGCAGTACATAATACAGGGGAAGCCAGCACAGCTTGTTCAGGGTAAGGTCATGGAAGCTCCATGGGCAAATCCCAACTCCCTGAGGGACCAAAGTACTGGGCTAAGGGATGTGGGGACCATGGTCTCAGGGAACATCTAGCTCAACTGGCGTGACATAGTTTATAAAGAAAATGTTCTACATTCTACTTTGGTGCGTAGCGTCTGGGGTCTTAAAAGCCTGTGAGCGGCCATCTAAGATACTCCACTGGTCTCACCCTTTCAGGAGCAAGGGAAAGTGAAGAAAACCAAAGACACAAGGGAAAGATTAGTCCAGAGGACTAACAGACCGCAACTACCACAGCCTCCGCCAGACTGAGTCCAGTACAATTAGATGGTGCCCGGCTACCACCACTGATTGCTCTGACAGGGATCACAATAGACGGTCCTGGACAAAGCTGGAGAAAAATGTAGAACAAAGTTGTAACTCACAAAAAAGACCATGCCTACTGGCCTAACAGAGACTGGAGAAAGAAACCCTGACTGGAGTATGGCCCCTGGACACCCTTTTAGCTCAGTAATGAAGTCACTCCCGAGGTTCACCTTTCAGCCAAAGATTAGACAGGCCCATAGGACAAAACGAGACTAAAGGGGCACACCAGCCCAGGGGCAAGGGCTGTAAGGCAGGAGGGGACAGGAAAGCTGGTAATAGGGAACCCAAGGTCGAGAAGGGAGAGAAGTAACATGTCATGGGGTTGTGAACCAATGTCATAAAACAACCTATGTACTGTTTAACGACAAGCTAGTTTGTTCTATAAACCTTCATCTAAAGTACAATAAAAAAAAAAAATTTAAAAGACAAAGCTGCATAGGATGCTTCAAGATAATGCTGTTTGCCAAAGCCAGCTTCCAACTCTAATCATCAAGCTTTCTTCTAATGAAAGAGCCATATTTTTCCATGGCTAGTAAGTACTGACAGAACTTCACACCTATATGTCGGGATAAATATAAGAGAAACTTAAGCTATAAAATACTTTCTTTTTACATACACACAATGGAATACAACACAATAAAGAACAATGATGAATCTGCAAAACATCTCACAACATGGATGAATCTGGAGGGCATTATGCTGAGTGAAATAAGTCAATCACAAAAGTACAAATATTGTATGAGACCACTATTATAAAAACCCAAGAAAAGGTTTAAACAGAGAAAAAAACAATCTTTGATGGTTACAAGGGAGGGGAGGATGGGGAGGAGAAATTTCTAACTAGATAGTAGACAAGTGTCAATTCTGATGAAAGGAAAGACAACACAAAATATAAGGGAAGTTAGCACAACTTGACCAAGGTGAAGTCATAGAAGCTTCCTAGACACATCCAAATACCTTGAGGGACAGAGTCACTGGCGCTGAAGGCTGGGGACCATGATCTCAGGGGACATCTAGGTCAACTGACATAACATCGTTCAAGAAGAAAATATAGTACAGCCTACTTTAGTGAGTAGCATCTGAAGTCTTAAAAGCTTGTGAGCAGCCATCTAAAACACATCTATTGGTTTCATCACATTTGGAGCAAAGAAGGATGAAGAAAACCAAAGACACAAGGAATATGTTAGTCCAAAGAATCTGAACCTACTGTAGCTTCAAAGGAAACCCTGGTGGCATAGTGCTTACGAGCTACAGCTGTTCAAATCGGCAGTTCGAATCCACCAAGCGCTCTTTAGAAACTCTAGAGGACAGTTCTACTGTATCCTATAGGGTCGCTATGAGTCGGAACAGACTCGACAGCAATGGGTTTGGTTTTGGTTTTGGTGGCTTCAAAGCTCAAGCTTTCAACAACATCCCCCGCTAGCATTTTCCTAAACAATCCTTGATTATCTCCCTTAACTAATCTATTTCCCCACATTAGAACAAAGTACAAGATGACATCTAATGAGTAACAGCAGAATAAGTCCTTCACTCATCACACCAAAAATGTGCCAAGTTCATATAAAGGCCAGGAAGAAAATTCCTCCTAAACTAACAGGATGAAAATTAACACTTATTTTAAAAGCAGTTTGCTTTTTTTTAACTGAAAAACCACATTTCATAATTGCGCCTAGCTGACATTGATTTTTACAATCCTATGTATTATGTGAGAAATATCATGAAAAAAATTCTCAAAATAAAACACACTTAAATCTCAGCACTTTATACCAAAACTAAAAACGGATTTGCTAAAAGGCCTTGACAGGTATCATCAAACACGTGAAACATTCTAGAAGAGGTCAAATAGTTTTAGATAGTCATTTTCTTTGCTCAATGTCCTTCACTATACCCTATTATCTTTCCCATTCTACCTAGGAAATTTAAAACATTCTGAAAATAAAATATTAAGGCAGTACTTAATTACGCATTACTACAGGTTTGTACAGTGGCTCTAGAGAACCACTAAACAATTAGCTAATGATACAACATTTAATTATTTGTCAGGTGTCACTAAATCTTATAAAAAGAATTAGTTATAAGCCATTTGGGAAAAAAATGCAAGATTTTTTTGAAAATTTTTACCATCCCAAATTCTCTATGACTCCTTCTGCCATCACTATGAATTCCTTGGAGATTAGTATCTCTGGCTTATTTTCAGTGAAGAATGTTAATTACAAGCTATTTTTTAGTGGTTTACAATTCTAAATAAAATTTTAAAAATCTAGTATTTTAGCAGGTAGGGAGAAACAAAAATATATACTGGCAAAATAATTCCTCATGTAGGAAAAACTTCCATATAAGAGTTTAGGAAGATTAGGTAAAAGAAGAAAAAAAACATTTTGGACTTCTTTTGTATATTAAATATGACAAGGCATTACCTCAAAATATCTGTTTAATTAGTGGGTCTTTTAAATTTTATCTGCCAGGAAAAAAACAATTCTGACAACGTAAAGAAGAGGTAAAATGGATTGCCTTAAAGTAAATGCATCTTCTTTAAAGTAATATTCTAATTCATTGGTTAAAGTAAAAAGTTTAGAAATGCTGAGCATAAATAAGAACTAATGGTTATATTAAACACAATAAAGCAGTTTTCTAAAGGAAAATAAACATATACTTCTGATTAACCTTACTGCTTAAAAAAAACTCAGGATGTCTAAACACTGGTCACTGTCTGCCCTCTAATACCCTTAAGCTGAACATAGAACTACCTTCTCTGAGACAGGTAGGCTGCTGGGCTCCTCTATATTTCTCGGTTGCTTTACAGAATCACATCCATGCATCCTATTTTTAAGAACACGAAGCTGAACATCAGGCAGGTGCTGGTGCAGAGCCCCCCGAGGGCCTGCGGAGAAGGGCCCACCAGGCAGAGTCTGAGTCATGCTAGCTGAAACACTGAGCTTCACATTGGAATCTAGTTGAGAGACCTGTGGAGCAAATACGACACCTGGAACACTGATAAGCTGAGGGCTTTCCTGCTGACTCAACAAAGCTTCCGACATGACTTTGTGCTCATTCCCAGGAGGTACAAATATGTCGGTGGTGACATTTTCTACTTGTTTCCTATCCACTGCCCCAGAATACAGAATTGTGGGTTGTTGGAACACAGTTTCCGGTCTCAGTGGTTTTTCAGTAGTTGCGTGAAGAGAAGATGGGCTCAATTGTGGAATACCGGTCTGTATTACTGAAGGCTGCCCAAGCTGCTGAAATACTTGCTGAATTGGATGCTGAAGAATACTTGCTCTTCCAGGAGTCTGTGTCACTATAATTGGCACATTGACTTTATAAAGGTGGCCTTAAAATGGAGAGAGCAAAGCTGTGAGTATAAGCGAATCCTTTCTTTAAAAAGAAAAATCTCACGCACAACAGGCTGAGAGGAAATATACCAATATGTTACTAGTGCGTATTTCTACCGGTGTTTATTCTTCAGACTTTTTTGTATTTTCTACAATGCATATATATTACTCTTACTTTTTTAAATTAAATGTTTTTCTTTAACTCTAGCCTGTTCTACTATTGGTTGTATGGTACATTTTAAGTTATACGCAGGCCACCATATTTAATCCATTTTCTCCCAGTGTTGGATAAACTAGTGTTACCAATCCAAAATGGGACTTTAACAAACATAATCATAAAAAATACATTTCTGGTATTTAAGATCTCACATAAAAACTGCAAGACAAGGCTATCCAAAAAGAAGTTTAATTATCAAATTTCTTCTCCCTCTTTCCTCTAAAATACTACTTAAACGTGGAGAAAGAAGGTATTTTTTTTAGCATCAAGTTGGATGTGTTGCTTAAACTTTACAACAACCCAAAGTTTAGATACACTACTCTTTCAAATCAAGAAACAGCGCTCTGAAAAGCAGAGGTCGTTTAACCCCTAAACCTTCAGTGGTTCTTTCTAGTATATCATGCAACCTCCAAGAAAGGAGAAAAAGTTGATCAGCCTAATCTTCAGTTTTCCTTGTTAGAGCTAGCAGGCACCCAGATATTTCATTCTGTATCTGATGAAATGTAGATAACTGCCTTGAATTAGAGAAAATATATATAAAGCATCTAAACAATGTTGAGAAAGAGAATTGGGAAAAAAACACAGGACAAGACCTAGTACAGTGTCTTTTGTGGTAGGTACTTCCATAATAATAATAACCACCATTTACTATTATGTTTAAAATAGATTTTATTAAAATTTCCTATCACTTCTGGTATATAGTATATTAAAATCATGAAACTTAATGTCCAGAAGTTAGTACCAATGCTAAAAATGAAATATCCTTAGAATATACTCTCACCAGATGCAGTCTGTAGCGTCACACCTGCTGGTACATGAATAGGATAACCAATACTGGAAGGAAAAGTAAAATTTGCACTGGAGTTTGAGGTGCCCTAGATATGAGAAATTTACGTTAGAAAGTTAGAAAAGGACTTGTATCTTTTTTCCTTGGTCTCATAGGGAGTCAAAAAATCTGACTCAGAACAGTAGGACAATAGTTTTACAAGTTCATTAGGGCTCAGTTCTTTGAATAAAACGGCTTTTTAATATTTGATTTAGGTCATCCCATTAGGGATCAAGAGAAATTCTGTTCTACAGCTATTAGCAACGAAGCCAATAAGTCTTAATGAATACTATGAACATTGACTCATAAAACTCACATCCACTACATAGCTATGCCTGGGCCACTGATTCTCAAGGTGTCAAATACAAGGACCACAGCTATTTATAAGGGTCTTCTATCTGTAAGTGGATCACTTATGGTATTTTAATGTAGACGACAGTATATAATTCTTATTTTGGAATAATTAAACTTTGTCATTGTTAGCTGCCATCAAGTTGGTTCTGACTCATGGCGTCCTCACTTGGGGTTTTAAAATAAAAAAACACTAAATCAAAAGGCAAACATTTTTACCTACCAGATCTGCAAATATTTAAGATTAATAACACCCAATGTTGGTGAAGATGTGATAAAAATCAGTCCTCTGAGACTACTGCTTTTATAAGTATATATTAGTACAATCCTTTTGGAGGACAATTTTGCAAAATATATCAAACTTGAAAATGTGCACCACCTTTGATCCAGAAAGTCTACCTCTACGAATTTATCCTGACTATCACAGAAGTACACAAAGACATATGTACATGTATGTTCAATGGAGTGCTATATTAGAAAAATTGGAAATAATTTAAATGTCTATTAACAAAAGATTAGTTAATTAAACTGTGGTAAAACCACTGGGGTCAATCTATATTTACTGGCACTGAAAAAGGTCCAACAATATTAAGTTTAAAAAAATTACAGAAACAGTACAGACATTGATCCTACTTTTACCGTGAAAATCAGTATAATTTCCTCGAAGAAGTCTAGACAGATGTACATCAAACGGTTAAAACAGTTATCCTTGGGCAATAAGGGTGCAGGACTGTTTCACTTTATACTTTATAAATCTCTAGAGAGTTTTGTTTTTGTTTTTACTTTTTATAAGCATACATTATTTCTACAATCAGGAAAAAAGACATTCTCATAAATTTAAAAGTCAGAGAGATTTCTTCTTTGGTTTCCTATCCAAAGCAGTATACTTCCCCATAAATCCTGCTGAGGGCGTGCGTTCTGTTTGTTTTTAATGAAGAAATGGGAATAAATGGCCCACTAAACTTTTCACCTTACAAAGTTAAAATGGTTTGAAAGAAAATGAAAAACAGTAGATTATATATCATCAGTACCACAGAAGAAAGGTAAAAAAGTACTATTCTTCCCCACCTGAAAAGCCACTCAACTTTCTATTGTAAGTTGTAATTTTATTTCCTGCCCCTAAATGCTAGGGGGAAATAGAGCCTATACTCTAACCTCTACTTTACAAAGACAGACAATGACCAGAATATTCCACCTCAAAAGAAGGAAAAACTATGATAAAGTTCAACGCTGGGGGGAAAAAAAGTCAGAAAAAACACACCATCTCAAAATTATTTACTTAGGACCCACCAAGTATATAACATTATACAGTGCGTTAAAAGTGCATACAACTTCAGAACCCTCCTAACTTCGTAGGTACAGTCTCGGCAGATCCTAACAACTGCCATGAAAGACAGGAAAGGTTGGTGAGAAGATGTCCATTCTGGAACTCCTGAGTTTTTGCTACATCTATGCTATAGAAGCTCTTCCTCTTTCCCCATTCCTCGCCATAACTTTTCCCGTTCAGCTAGAGGTTTATGAATTTTATCTATGCCTGTTCTGCCACCATTCACTAAGGGGTGGGTGTATTTTTTAAAGTATATTTTAAATAAGTTACATACCAGTTCTGCTGTGGTAAAAGTGGGAATAGATCTACCAGCAGGGACAACTAAAGATGCTGCATAGAAAACAAAATAAACGTTATACATTTGTTACAATTTACCAATTTAATAGAATTGTAAGTATAGCTTTTTTAAAAATATAGGTATAGTTTCCATCACTAACATGTCTGACCGCAGTGAATTCTTAACTAAGTTCTTGATTCCAAGTGAGGTAAAAGTATTTAATTATATTTTTTTCAACAAATTTAGATAAAGACATAAGTACCAAAAGAAAATCTCATGATGATCAAGTTTACCATACTTTAGAAATTCATCACAAAACCCCCAAGTTGTCTTTAGTAAGACAATGTAGCACCAAATCTCCATTAGAACTTTTCATTGGGGAAGAAAAGGTGACATTTGTTTTAAAGTGACATATTTCCAAGACACTATACCACTGAGCAGACTAACCCAGCATAGACCCGTTCTAAATGTGATAGGTTTGAAATGAATTCCAATTTATTCTCTATCAACGGATGAATGGATAAACAAAATGTGGTACATACATACAATGAAATGCTATTCAGCCATAAATAGAAATGAAGTCCTTATACACGCTACAACACGGATGAACCTCGAAGACATTACGCTGAGTGAAATAAGTCAATCACAAAAGGACAAATCTTGTATGATCTCACTGATACGAAATGATAAGAATCGGCAAAAGTATACTGATCAAAATTTATCAGTAGTTACCAGAGGTGAGAGGGAGGGAGTGAAAGGGAGCCACTGTTTGGGAAGTAGTGAGTTTCTATTCCCATTGATGGGAAATCTGGCACAACATGATTAATATAATTGATATCACTAAGTTATACACCTGAAAAAAGCTGAACTGGCAAATGTTGGGTTATATATATATTTACAACAACAACAAAGAACAGCTGCTGATACTGCTTATGTACAACCAAATACCTTATGGGATTTGTCTTCTTAGTTCAGAGGTTTAGGGTGATGGTCTCATGGAACATTTCAGTCAATTGACTTAGTAGTGATTTTAGTGCTTCTGTTGTATCTCCTAGTTCCTCGTATAGTGCCTGGGGTCTTAAAAGCTTGTAAGCGGTCATACCAGGTACAACAATTGGTCTCTATTAGCCTGAAGCAGCAGGGGAAGAAGGAGGGTCAGGAATCAGAAGACGAACTGGAATGCACGTCTAACATGAACAACTGCCTCCTTTGCCATGAGTACTGGATAGTGCCTGGCTACCATTACTGAATGTTTTGACCAAAGATTCTATAAAAGAAATCTTGATGAAAAGGAGGAAAAATATGGAACAGAATTTCAGATTTTCATAGAATCCAGCCTTTCTGGAGCCAATGAGGCTGAATGACTCCCCAAACCTATTGTCTTGAGGAAATCTTTAAACCGAAACTATCCCCTAAAGTCAGCTTGAAATAGTTTAGCCAAATTAGTAAAGAATGTTTGCTTTGAGTATTGTACTGTTTTAAAGAATTGTCTACATCCAATCAAACTGACAGAAGCAACTCAAAAGGTTAGATGAGAAGCTTAGGGGCAGTGAGTGTATGTTAATGATGGTAAAATAATTTGGAAAAGGATATCGAGAAATGTGGCATGTGAAGAATATAACCAATGTCACTGAACTGCACCTGTAGAAATTGTTGAATTGGTGTATGTGTTGTGTATATTTTCACCAAAAATAAATAATAATAACAAAGAACATAAGAAATACCAATTCATTCATTTCGTGAAGTTATTTACAGCACTTTGGTCAAGTAAGCAAGCACAACTACACAAACAAGTTTTAGGAATAAATGGTCTCTTGAAGTCTGCATGTGAAACAGGTACAACTGCTGAGAAAATATGAGAGAACAAACTCTCTGAACTCCAACTCAACCTGCATTAAAGCTGCAATCCCATATATCTTTCCTTCATTATCTACCAATTTTCTATACTATCCCTTCATTTGTAATACCTCTAAAAAGTTGACCTTGCTGTAAATACAATCTAACATTTAAAAAAATGTTTTAAACAAATAGTAACCACAATAGAAGGATTTCATTTCCATCAATGTAACCACAAATATTGAACACTCAAGGTTCATTTTACCTAGCTGAACTTGACTGCTAAAATGTCATTTTGCTTTTTGTTTATAAAAACATTTTAGCATGTTTATGCAGCACATATGCATTAAATGTAATGTTTATTATGGCCTGTTTCTCATGTACAGCATTAAGGAAAATTACCCTAATATCTGTTTCTGATGCTAGGATGGCTCCATCATATGCAACAAACACCTCAGAAGAGCAAACATTTTTAAACTAACCATTCTTTCCCTGTTAAGACAACAGAAGTGAGGCTGCAGAGACTGATGGTTAATGAAGCACAGAATTATTTTTATCCTTTGTTCATCTATGGCTTTGCTTATTAACAGGCATTCCTTTAGAAAGGCTAAATTAGAAAGAATTGGAGTGGCAGAAACACAATGGTATTAGTCTTAATTAGCTGAAGTGAGCAAAGCTTAAGCTGCTACAACTTAAGCCATAGCCTGAGAGGAAACAAAAATCTGTTAACACGCTGTCTGAAGCAATTAAATGAATTTTTTTTCTTGAAGAAAAATAGAAACAATCTTCCTCTTTTAAATACTCTGCAATAAATCCTGAAGGAGAATACTCTATATTTAAAGAAATCAAAGACAGCTATAAGAGTTTTATAAATGTCTCTATAGCCATCAGAATAGAAGTACTGAACTCACACACAGTTCTAGGGTGAAGTTTCATGCAGCTCCTATTTAATTTGATACTAAATGCACAAGTTATATACATTATTGATGTATGCTCACAAGTTATATATACAACTAAATGTGCCTGAAACATTTTTTTAAATATTCAAGATGGTGTTAATAACCAATTAAGTTTTGACAGAATATGTGTTCTTACGTAAACTAAAAGTGTCAGAATTTTTATCTTCACTTACATATTCTAGAAACATTAACTTTAATTTTCACAAAAGATAAGGTTTTATAACATAGAAAAAAATCAATCCCACAAACATAAGAAATTTTGAAGTAAGATAATGTGGCATAATAATATGCAAGTTTTTATTTTTTCCTAGCCAGCATAAAAAATTCTTTGATACATTGTGACAGGTAATAGTTTCAAAGTTCTTAGTCCTGCTTTGAACCATTCCAAATCCTAATACCCAACTCACATGATTCAAAAGGTACAAAGACTGTTCAATTTCTTCTTTGTGACTAACTATTAGCATATGGATGTCTCCTGATGAACAAACTGAATATTCTAACCTTCAAATTGTCTACAGAACCAATAACACTGCTGAAATTTTTACCAGATCTATGTCTAAGAACACATGGGCACACTGCACCTATAGTTTAGTAGTATTAATCCTCAAACACAAAAGTCACCATAGCTTCTCAATGTTCCTGTTCTACCTCTTCCTTCCTCCCATAACGACTGATGGTTTCATTAAAAAGACCATTTGCCATAAAGACCAAATAACAGAAGGTGATGGGCAGTACCCTAGAAAAAGGCAATTACGGACAGGTGACTGACTACACAACCCAGTTTGCCCACAACAGTCCCAGTTTATACCTGCTATTCTGAGGTACCTATTAACAGAGCCCCATGTCTTTCTCAAAAGTGGATTATACATCATATATCATCACCATAAGTATAGAACAGAAGTCCCCGAGACCCCAGGGTATTTGGCAAGTCAAAATTATTTTCACAATACCAAGATATGCCTTTTTCACTAATTTTTTTTTTTTTTTTGATGATGCAAAAATGATGAGTACAACTACAGGGACCTTAGTATCAACTGGGGCAGTAGCCACTGTATTCTCCATGGCCACTCACTCTCAGGAAAACGGTTCCACTTAAGAAGGCCCTTGATGAAACCACAAGAATTTCACTAAATTTTCAGTCCTCAAGTACACTCACTTCTCTTTCGTATTGTGTGATGAAACAAGAAGACCACATAATGCCATTTTTCAGCATACTGAAGAGCAAGAAGTATGACAAAGAACATTTGTGTGATTCCTTAAGTTGAGAGCGGACGTACCCTCTTTTTTCATAAAACACCATTTTTACATCAAAGAGTAACTGACAGAAACTATGGTTATACAGACTTCGGTACCTGGCAGACTTTTTCTTTGTACCCATTACTTCAAAGAAAATAACTGACAGCATTTGTATGCCAATGAAAGAACTCAAGCTTTCAAGCAAAAATTAGAATTTTGGAAAATTTATATCTACCGCAGTAATCTTGACAGGTTTCCCACACTCCAAACACTTGTGATGAGATGCTCCGCAATATTTACTCAAGAGGATTTTATCTTGTAGAATAAACAACGTGTCAACTGCATCACTCAACATACCAATCTTTTCCAAACAACCAACATATGTTACAAATCTACACATAAGTTAAAGAGTCATTCAAAGTGCAAGATAGGCAATGAATTTCAGTGTAACATTATGAAAAATTTATTAATATGGTTGCAGATTCCACCTTGTGGCTAACCTGTCAGAAACTACCACATGTGAGTTCTGGTGTAGTATCATCTGAGAAAGCTATTAAAATACTTTTATTTTCTGACTCTATGTCAGTAAGAGGCTAGACTTTCTTTGTGTACTTAAACCAAAACAACATCATCATGACAGATTGAATTTAGCAGATATGAGAATCCAACTATCTTGTATTAAACCAGACATTAAAAAGATTTGCAAAACAAGTAAAACAATGCCATTCTTCTAATAAAATTTTTTTTGTTGTTCTGGAAAATTGTTATTTTTCATAAACGTGTTATTAGTTAACACAGGTTTTTAAAATTTATACACCAACATTTTTTAAATATCTCAGTTTTAATTTCTAATAGGATATATAAACCCACAGCCGTCGAGTTGATTCTTACTCATAGCAACCCCATAGGGTTTCCAAGGCTGTAAATCTTTGCAGAAGCAGACTGCCACATCTTTCTCCTAAGCAGCTGCTGGTGGTTTTGAACTGCCAACCTTCTGGTTAGCAGTCAATCGCTTTAAACACTGTGCCACCAGGGCTCCTTAATATGATATATAGATATTTATAAACCACATAAATAACAGCTCTTTGGGGTTCTCATTTTTTAAGAATATAATAGGACTGTAAGACCAAATAAGAACTAAAGATACAGGGAATTACTAAATAAATGGATACTACATGGAATGAAAATATGGTTGGACAAACAAGTATCAAAGGTGGAACAGACAAATGACTTAGTCCACTACAGATCTAATTTGAACTTGTTATCAAAGAAGATAAAAAGGTTGTATAAGTTAGTTTAGGTTATTTTCATCAGACTTAAGCATGCAATGAGAAGATTAAGATTAAGGAGTACTTCAATTTTTTCTAAGACTATTTACTTGGAAAACATTACTGTAGGGTAGCTAGTAACAAAGAGAGAGGAACAAGACCTATAATGCATTTTTAAAGGCTACATGTACTTCCTCTTGAACCACTTCGTTATAAATTATGTAGAAGAGAATAAGAAGAAAAACTGTCTTGTTTAAAATGCAATTATTTCTATTACTCTAACTTCTAAGACAAAGAATAAGAATAAGGTGCTGACTGAAAACCAGTCAGACGTATTAGCTGCAAAACTTGTGATTTAAATCACTGGTAATATTACCATCTTGCGGCAAAATCAAGTATTGCAATTTTGAATGACAAAGAACCTGAGAAGTGTAACTAGGCTTTGGCTAAAAGACATCAAGAGTTTCCTCCTCCACACCACCACCTCCGTGTCACCCCTCAGTAAAAAGTCTTTAAATTTCTTTAATAAATAAAATAGAGATAAAGGGGAAAAAAGTTAAAAAGAACATTATTTAAACATGGAAGCAAAAGGGATGTTCTGATAAAACGGTAAAGTTAAAAACGAAAGCATAGCCCAAAACCCAACAACGATGAAAAATGTTTCAATGTGTCAATTTAGAAATTAACACTATCATGGATAATTTTTATAAGCACAGTGTTGGATAAAACTCTTGTTTGGTGATTCAATATTCATCGTTAATTTATTTCATTTTCATAAATTATAATTGCTGCCATACTTAAATTCTCTCATTTTGTAATAATGATACTAGTACGTCTTCTCTTCACCTCGGCACAAGTAATTTTCACGTGAATTTACCCGAGCATGCAATGAACGGTCTAGTTATTACTGACAACTGAATCCAAATCTGCCTGCACTTGTTACAGACCCTCATCTATTTAATTTCAGTAAAACTCAATAAAACCTATTTGTGCGTGTCTGTGTACACACATATACACACAGTACAGTAGCATAAAGACAATAAGAACCAAGGAGAAAAGAAGGAATAAACGCTAGAAAAGATAGAATAGTATCAAAACCAAAAACCAAACCCACTGCAACCCTATAGGACACAGTAGAGCTGCCCCATAGGGTTTCCAAGGCTGCAAATCTTTACAGAAGCAGGCTGCCACATCTCTCTCCGGCGGAGCAGCTGGTGGGTTCAAACCGCCACCTTTCCATTAGCAGACTAGTGCTTAACTGCTGAGCCACCCGGGCTCTCTAGAAGAGTATCAGTATCACTTTTATCTAATCAGCTAGTCATTTCCAGTTTACACAGATATATATATATAGATATATAGATATACATCTATATACATATATAACATGGACAAATATTTCTCTTAAAAGTAGAGATCTAGATTCAAGAAGTCCAAAAATAAAGATAAAACGCATATGGTCAATTTCTAGCCATTATTTTATATATCCAAAACAGGAAGCAGTCTGAATAATCTCCATATTAACTCTCCATTTTGCTTCCAACACATTAACAGGATTATAATGCAGAAAATTAGAGAGCAAGAGAGAACGCACACACTCACACACGTGCGCCCTTCTCTGTGCTGCATCAGCAATAGCAGCTGGATTCCTCCTTGACTAGACCCAATCAAACTCTCTGACAGAACCAGTGCGTGCTCCAATGGCCCACAAACGATACAACTTGTTCTTCCAAAGTAAGGCTTCATCATTTTTGTGAAATTTGACATTAAAAACAAACAAAAAATAATAATTTGAGAAACTGATTTTTTAATCAACAGTTACTTGGCGTGGTGGTTTAGTCTCAGTTTAATAGTAATGACTTTTAGGTACAAGCCTTCTCACCTTAAAAACATTACCCTAATATAAAAACACCACCAAATGAATTTGTTCTGAAGATCCAAATAGTACTAATTTACTACCCAACCTGTTGATGTTTGCAATGTTTGGTGCATGCCGTGCGGCAACTGAAGGGTGTAGAGAGGCGAATGGACACTGTTCCTGAACAAATCTTCTGTTGCTTTAGACTGCAAGACCTTGGTTTCCCAGAGCTGCAGAGAAAAATTGTTTGCTTTTTTTAAAACACAAAACATTATCAGGATATTTTATTTCTATTTTTTAAAATGTTTTTTAATTGTCACCTAATAGCACAATGAATGGGTAAGTATTAACTAAAATGTATCACTTTTTATAGCTGAAAAAAATAAAAAAGGAGAAACTTGTATTGTCTACAAACCTGCTTCAAGTCTTTTAAGACTTGTTCCTCTATACCTTCTTCAGCAAATAGATTCCGCACTCTTTCAATTACATCTTCGATTACAGATCTGTAGAGTGTAGGCTACATAAAAGCACTTGTTAAAGGTTTAAATTCCAAGCTTGAACGTATTTACCCTTTAAAGACATGCAATGTACTCTCTAACCTTGTAGTTTAAAGAAAAGCCACTATAAGGATTTTTACTAAGTACATCCTACTCCCAGTATAGTCTTAAAAACCCAGACCAAAACTGTTGTCATGGAGTTGACTGACTCATAATGACCCTACAAGACAGAGAAGAACTGCCACATCGGGTTTCCAAGGAGTGCCTAGTGGATTCGAACCGCCGACATTCTGGTTAGCAGCCGAGCTCTTAACCACTGTGCCACTACATCATCTTAGCATCCCATATATTGTGTTAGCTTCAGGCCCATAGTCTCAGCCTTTCTAGAAGGCTAAGTTAGAGGACTACAATAACACGTGCTATAATAATCTCATAAAGATGTATGGTTACTGTTCTGTTAGTTGGCTTTTGTGTCAATATTTAACCTCCCCACTCCCTCCTTTTAGAAAGGGAAATTAATTCAAGGCAGCTGGAAATAAACCTTCGTTTTCAATTTACCTTTTCTCAAGGAGGCCAAGAAAGGGTTCATTAGGGTTCACTATATTATTTCCACAAATGTGAAGTACTGGCACAAGCACTTAAGATAGAGCAACCAAAGCCTGTCCCACTTCCAAAATGCACATAGTTCAAAATTGTATTCGGAAGCACTGTCAAGTAAAAGTACAACTGCACCAAGATGGATTTCCTAACAAACACTAAGAAGACCTGAACCAATTTTACCCTTCCACAATCTACAAACTGTGTAAGGCTAAGGAATGACCAGGAGCCCTAGTGGTGAACTGGTTAAGTGTTCAGCTGCTAACCAAAAGGTCAGCAGTTCAAATCCACCCTGCACTCCCCCTAAACCCTATAGGGCAGTTCTATTCTCCTCTAGGGTTGCCATGAGTCATAACTGACTTGACAGCAATGGCTTTGTTTTTTTAAGTAACATCCTAACATGCTTCCTAGTAAAAACATGCCAATAATATTAAGCAGAGTTCTACTCAGATTATACACCAGCTTCATCAACAGAACAACAGGTCTGTGAAATAAAGTCCTTCAAATCTATGTAAATTGTGCTCTCTCCCCAACCCTAGCCCAAAAATGGCAATGGTTAAGTGTGCTGACAATGACAACCTAGTGGAAGTTCCACTGATTTAAAAAAAAAAAAAGGCAAAACAGGAATTTAGTGGAGTTGCTCTTATTTCAAATTGCTTCATTAGGCCAAAATGAACATTGTTGCATCCTAGGACTGCTTTCTCATAAACACTCTAAATATTCCTGCTCATGCCATAGGGAGTCCTGCTTTAAACTAAACCTTCTAAAGATCCAGGGTAACCCTGTGAATAGGCCAATCAATCAGTAACGTTTAAATAACGAGGTATTCACAAGCATATCAATTAGGATTAAGTGCCTCTAGATTAGTTGCTTCTTCTAGAACAGTTTACCTTGATAAAGGCCTACTACACTGATACTTCAGGGTTAGTCCCAGACTAGTGTGATCACATTTAAAGCTCGGGGGGGGGAAAGCTCCTGGGGCTAAAAACATCGTTTAAGACCTGCCCTCCCAGCCTAACAGCAGCAGTCAACAAAGAATCCATTAAAACAATTTTTTGAAAGCAAAATAGGTATTGAACATACTTTCTCTTCTGGGACTACACTGAAGACTTTATATTGCTTTCCCTATCCGGTACCTTTGTTAAAACTGCATATAGTCCAGGAAATCTATTTTAATCGCTTATTTATGAAAAGAAAACACACACCCGTTCTTGGAGTTCTTATCAGATAAAATGGTATACATGGTAAATTTGTATTCAAGTGTTAAGTATTTTACGTATTTTAAAACACATTAACATCAGAAATAGATACACATTAAAATAATCCCGAAAAATACACCTGTTTAGGCTGGCATATGTATAACACACGGAACATATGACACATGTATGAACACACTGCTTTTCACAGATGTGAAATCTGTTGACCTGAACTGAAAATAAAGGGGAACCTTTAAATTTTTTTTTCTTTTAATTCAGGTTTTGAAGATCGATGGAGGGTCGTAAAGTGCCATGTATCCTATAAATTCTGAGATTTCGGTAGCTGTCGGGTAAAAAATAAATGTTTTAAGTTGTACACTTAAGCATTAAGATGCTGACGAAGGGGACTTCGAAGGGCCCACAAAATATGTGGTTAGGTAACATGAAATATCACATTACCTAATTTTCATGTTAGTAAACAATACGGCTTGGAGTCAACAATGCTCAAACTAGAGTACAAAAGAACTTCGGAATTTTCTTGACTCATAGGAAACTGGGTGAGTTCCACCTAAATATCCTAACCTGTTGCCGTCAGTTGCGGTTGAGTCAGCGACCCCATGTGCGCAGAGTAGAACTGCTCCACAGGGCCACCCAGGGTCTTCCTCACTTTGGGTGACAAGTGAGAGGGGGAAGAGGAGGAACACTTGCTCTTCCGGTCGCGGCCAGTACCAACTTCCGGTTCCCTGGCCCTTTTCGGCTTCCTCACAGAGGTGAGGAAGATAAGGTTTCTGAAAGCCTGTGAGGGACCAGAGTAAAAAAAGGGGTGTGCTGGGCGCGGCTGCCTCGAGTCATAAGTCCAGGGTCGTGGGGCGCCCCCTCTACACAGTGCCCAGGCCAGAGGCCAGGCTCGTCCTTACCACGGAGTTGGCACAAGCCATGCCGGTGGGTTCAGTGCCTCGCGCCTGCGCAGCACACATTACCCCGCGGAGGAGCGCATCCGGGGGCGTTTTTGAACGCCTGGCGCACGTGGCCTGCGCAGCCGCGGAAGGAGGCGGGGGCGGGGCGGGGAAGGAAAGAAAAGTTAACGAAGTAAGCTAACTGGAGGAGTGGAGTCGGCGCATGTTGGCTTGAGTCAAGGCAGCCGAAATGGATGGTGTAGTCGGGCCTAGACCAACTCTTGAGCCCTTGGCAAAGTAGTTAAGAGCTTGGCTGTTAACCAAAAGGTCAACAGTTCGAAGCCACCAGCTGCTCCTTGGAAACCCTGTGGGGCAATTCTATTCTCGACTGAAGGGCAACGGGTTTTTGGTTTAGACCAATTCTGGGCAGTTCACGTGACCCTTAATTACCTTTAGTTCCTCAGTTTGTGAAACAGACTTCAAACAAAGGACAGGGGCGAGGAAGTGGCTGTTTGCTGTTCGTATTTCAGCTTTGAAATCGGTGGAGCGTTAGCTGTCCGCTCCTGTTGCCGTTTCATTCTGCCGCACCATGCCACCCTGAATTGAACTCCAGCAAAAATAAATAACAAGAGCCAAATTCCTCTCAGACTGGTTCTCAAAATATGGTCCTGGGAACAAGCAGTGCGAGCTCCATCTGAGAATCTGTTATAAATGCAAATTACCAGGTCTACTCTAGATCTTATGTTTCAGAAACTATGAGGATTGGACCCAGCGTCCTGTAATTTTAACCATAATATCCAGGTGATTGATGGGCTCTGAAATGACACCTACTGACCTATGACAAAGATTCTCAAGCTTCCCTGCACATTGAAAATCCCCTGGGGAGCTTAAAAAAACCAACTGATTTAATTAGTTTTGGTTGCTCTTATGGGATTTGCCAACGCCTCCCCGTTTTCTTTGCCTCTTCAGCAGAAATCACCATCTCTTGACTTGCGATAATTCCATCCCTCCCCTGAAGAGCGGGCATCTAGGGGCACACCTTGCCTAGGACTGAGGGTAGATGTGAGCACAGATAACTAGAAGGGTTAGAAAAGAGAAGTCATCTATTGCCACTACCCTGCCTTTTAAACGGCCTTTCTAGCCTGCAAATTGGTCTTGACCTAACTAGATGGATAAGTTATTTGATGATTAAAACTATCCGGTTTAAAATTGGCTGAATAGTGCTCATATTATTTATTTGCTCATGTAAGTACAGTAGAACTACTTATGACCTACCACTCTGTATTTGCTTTGCCTGAGTGGGGTACCTTATGGTTTGTGAGTTTCAAGCAGCTGATTTATATGAAGCCCTTTAGAAGACTTTTCCTAAATTGAAAACTACCTGAAATTTCTTTTAGAAAAAGCCCATAACTTTCTATAATAATTCTTAATGGTTGTATCTCTACCTGGCAGTTTACTACCGGGAGTATTCAAAGTGACTTACCTTTCACCCAAAATAGAAAAGCTAAAAGCAGTCACTGATTCCTACTCATAAAATTGAATTAAATTAGTCAAGCTAGTAAGAAAGCTGAAAGATCTTGTTTTCCACCTTTTTCACAGCCAGGTTTTCAAATTTTATTCCTAAATGCATAGGGTTGGTAATCACCTAAATTTTTGTGACAGCATACAGTGTTATTTTGCTTCATTATGTATAACACCATTCTCAGGGCTATACTGTAGATCACATATATTTTCAAAATTAAATTTAGACCTTGATACCTGTGGTGCAGTGAATTACTATTAAATGGCCCTTCTAGCTAGGGTCTTGTGACATCCACAAATGATTGGATGGGATTATGCAAATAAGGTACTTGTGACCCACCAAGGGAATTGGACAGTTTTTCTAATGCAAATAAGGCACATGGAACCCTTGTAGAGGATTGGTCAGTTTTGCCATCCCGCTAGGCTTAAAGGGAGCCAATCCCAGAAGCTAGGGGTGGGGGAACCTCACTACCATCAATAAGAAGAGCCACAAGTGGAGCATGTCTTTGCAGCTGGGGTTACCGCACTGAGAACCTCCTAAACCCAGGAGACAGAGGTGTAATGCTGTAGGCGGCAGCAGCATGAGACGTTGGGAACCAGGAGACGGGGGCCAGATGCACAGTGGGCTTCCCGGCCCATGGAGTGAGACAGCTGAGTGCCTTCGGGCAGGAGGCTTGCTGGTGGAGGGGAGTGCCTCCAGGCACTTACCTGCAGAGCTAAAGAGCTTTGTAACCCTTGCCTGAGCAGGGCAGAGGCCAGGCCAAAGGCTGAGGGCCGAGGGCTGAGAGGCCTACCTGCAGGCACAGCCAAGAAGAAGCTGTCCTGATCGAAGAACTACATCCTGAGTTTTTTTCTGTTCCTTCCAGGTTGATCCTGATCCTGAATTGCAACCCGTTACCTCCCTAATAAGCTCTATAATTGTGAGTATGGTCTGTGAATTCTGTAAGACCTTTGCAACAAATTATCAAACCAAGCAGAGAAGTACAGAGTGCCGTGGGAAGGATGGCTGGTGTCAGAACTGGCAAAAAGGTTGGAGAGTAGAGGTATGTCTGACCTCGACCTCATAGGAATCAGCCTTGGGCTGATGTTGATCTTGTTCTCTCTCCTCCCCCTGAAGTTAGACGAGGTCTGACGCCACGCCGTTTTTACAGTACCCATGAAAAGTGTAGCTAAGAACCATTGCCTAGTATATTTAGTATAGTCAGGATATGGAGTGGTGTTATGGATTGAATTGTGTCCCCCCACCCCCAAAATATGTCTTGGAATCCTAACCCCATACCTGTGGATATAATCCCAATTAGGAATAGAGTTTTCTTTGTTATATTAATGAGGTCATATCAGTATAGGGTGTGTCCTAAACCTAATCACTGCTGAGTTACAAGGAGCAGCATAGACACAGAGGCAAGAAGCACAAACAGAGGAAGAGAGATGTCACCCCACATGAAGATCGCCAAGGAACTAAAGAATGCTGAAATAGACAAGGATCTTTCTTTCCCCAGTTCCAGTGCCCTGAATTCGGACTTCTAACCTCCTAAACTGTGGGGGGAGAAATCTGTCCTTTAAAGAAAATACGCACTTGTGATATTTCTGTTACACCAGCACTAGCAAACTAAGATAAGTGGTTATGCAACTTTGGCAGAGAAATGCCAGCACCCTTCCCTTTGTCCCTTATGATCTGCCTGAATGGTCACTAGTAGGCTCAGCTATAATTTCTTCCTAATAATAGACAATGGTCATTAGAGGAAGTATGCTTTAACTTGATTTCTGGGTGAATGCAAGTTGCAAATCTGCTCTGGACCTGTGATAGCCAGTTTCCAAGATGCTCCCCATGATCAAGAGCCTATCTCCGGAAAATAGCACCTATGGCAATTAGTTTTAAATTGCTGAATGATCTCTCAAGCTGGTGATGGAAACTGCTATGGCCAACGGAAACTGCTCGTTAGCGCCACTTCCTCAAGCGGCACCCAGGGCACGCGCCCTACTTGCAATACCTTAGTTACACCTCTGCCCATGACCCCCACCTCCTGGGATTCGCAGATTTGCATAGTCTTCTCCCACATTGTATCATGGTTTGTCTGTGTGACCAATAGCATACAGCATAAGCAGTAGTGTATCACTTCTGAGATTAGGTTATAAATGGCTATGTCTCTATTGGATCACTCACTCTGAGGGAAGTCAATTGTTATATCATGATGACACTCGTGTAGGCTGTGGAGAGGCCAATGAGGCAAAGAACTGAGGACTCCTGTCCCAAGCGAGCAAGGATCTGAAGGCTGCAAACAACCAGGTGAGTGAGCTTGGAAGTGGATCCTTCCCCAGTCAAGCTGCCAGATGATTGCAGCCCTGACTGCATCTTTGTGGAGACCTTGAACCAAAACTACCCTCTAAGCCGTTCCCAGATTCCTGATCCTCAGAAACTGTGAGATAATTAATATCTGTTGTTTTAAGCAGTTAAGTTTTGGGATAATTTGTTATACAACATCAGAGAACTATACAGGGTCTATTCTCTGATTTAAGGAGCCCAGATGGTGCAGTGGTTAAGCACTCAGCTACCTACCATAAGGTTTGAACCCACCAGCTGTTCCACGGGAGAAAGATGTGGCAGTCTACTTCGGTAAAGATTTACAACCTTGGAAACCCCCTGAGGCAGTTCTGCTCTGCCCTGAAGGATTGCTGAATTTGGGTTTCTGGCTTCCTAAACAGTAGGAATTGACTTGTAGGCAATGGGTTTGGGGTTTTCTTCTTATTCTCTGATTGGACTGTGACAAGTGGAGACTTGGTTTTCCCTCATTGTAATTTCAGCATTTAAAGTTTTTTGAGGACCCTCATCAGTTACGAGAGCATTTGAAAAACATGTAAAGGAATCTTTATATATTGATATTTGACAGAGTTGACCCAAGATTTTCATGAAACAAGCAGACTGCTATATTCGTCTAATGATCACATCTCTTTGTTCAATTTTTCAAACTCACAGGGGAAGGATGCTGCATACACAAAGCACTTTTGATGTTAAAAATGAAACTCCAAGATCCCAAAGCCTCATTGAGGCCATTTTACACTTAAACTATTTCTTATGTTAGTAAATACAGAATAAAAAAAGGATGCTGAGCTTTGGTTCTTCTTTGAGTACATAGTTCTTTGAAATTCCACCTGGGCCAAAGCATACAGTTCTCCCCTAACTGCCCATCACAGTTTAGAGCAGTGGCTTTTCGTTTTCTCTGTCTTTGTTTAGAGACAGAGCAAAATATATATTTCATATATCACTGGTAACCAACACTAGTCTTTATAACATTTAAGCAAATTATAATTATCAGATTAATTTCTTTGCATTCTGTATGTTCTCATTAATTTTCCTGAAAGTATCAGTGATTCTACTCCAAAAGTAGAGAAACAGTTTCACTTTACTTATTGTGAGAAAAGACCCTATCTGCAAAGTGCTTTTTTTTGAATGAGTATATATACATATATATATATATACACATATATATACATATATATATACATTATATATATATACATAT